AAGACTGTTTGTGTGGAAGAATGGGCCAAAATCACACCTGAGCAATGCATGCGACTAGTTTCTCCATACAGGAAGCATCATTACCAACAAAGGCTTTTGTACGAAGTATTAAATATATTTCAGTAAGCGTGTTCAATACTTTTTCCCTGTGTCATTCCATTTTATTACACATAACTTAATTTCTGAACATATTTGTTTGGATTTCTTTGTATGTATGGATTACTTGGGTTGGTACCGACATCTGGTGAAAATGTCATGTCAATAGCACCTTTAGAAATATATTTACTGAGAAAAATGGTGACGTGTTCAATACTTATTTTACCCGCTGTGTTGTGTTATATTGTACTGTAACCATTGTGTATCTTGATGCCACAATACGTTGACTCAATCGTATTGAATATACCATGTATAATCGTTTTGAATAGTCGTATTTAAATCAGCACATTATTACTGTATGTGATTTTTTGCTGCCTTTTTCAGCTGCCAGTATCACGAATCCATTCGATAATTTGGGTGCAATGTCATTTTTCACCTGAGGAGGGTGTGGTGGCGCTGTTTGAAAACAGCTCTGCACTCCTCTTTATTTCAGCGCTGCTCTCCTCCTCTTCTTCTTCTTCTGCGTTTCCTTCCCTGGCTCACCCACAACAAACATAGCGGCTGTTAGATACATAAACGCTCCAGTAAGTCGAGATATTTGGAGAAACGTTACAGCTTACGGTTACTCTTGCACTATGCGACACAAATGAAGCTGGACATTTCGCACTAACGTGAGGTAGAAGTTAGCCACCGGTAAGCTAGCTGTAACTTGTCGAGCTCGTCTGCCAAACTTAACTGCTCTTGCTAACACAGCCAGCTGCACTTGGAGGACCCAGAGAGCTTCCGGGTTGGATTTTTAAAAAACAAATAGTAAGTAACTGCTGGCTCGTGTTACAATTATCGGTGGCTGATCTTTAGTGTCGAGCTGTCTGAGCTAGTGACACACATCATAGACCAGGGTCTTAGCCTTGCAGTTGGATCAGAGTCAAAGTAGACTTAAGTGGACAGAGCAGAAGATAGACCTGCTATCACTGCTGTGTTGCGACTGTTTATTTACATAGAATTTTGTCTTTATGTTCCTTTATACCCTCACATAGCTCCACAGAAGGCAGTTTACTCGTCACGTGGAGTAATGTTGGTACTTTTATGTCGTCTGCGGCTGTGGAGGAGCTTTTTAAAGTCTGATAAAAGCATCAGGGTGACCTCCGTCTGGACTTAAGCATGTCTAACAGAAATCCTGCGCTGCACGCTGGGGAGTTTTAATGAAAGCTGCTGTTACGTTGCATTATGGGCAGTGTATGATCGAGTAGTTTGGGAATCAGCACCAGCCTGCAGGTCAAATAGGCAAGTGGCTGCTAGATTTGCTTCACTCACCAGCCTGGAAAAGAAAAACAATAGAAATGTATTGAGTGCCATTTCGGAATCCACCAGCTACAGTTGCAGGTGTACAAATAAGTAAATTTCCAACCCTGAGTGTCTCTGTTTAGTGTAAATAAAGATTTGGTTATAAGATTTCATAGAAGACAAGACATCTGTCTTTATAGTCCTCGCTTTGTCTGACCAGCAGACAGAAACTTGAATGGTTTGACATGAAAAGTCAACTATAATATAGAAACTACGTAGATGCTTGATCGGTTACTTAAAATGGTGAATCCATCGTCAGAATTGGAATGTATTACTGTGTTTTGATAATTTCTTTATACACTAAAACCTGTTAAACTGAGCACCTGTGTGTTCTTTGTCTCCCCTGTCACTTTCTACAGAAAACACAGGTACCAGACTGCACCTGTGATGTTCTGGCCGCCTGTCTAACTGCCTTCTGAGGAGGGGTTTGAGATCGTTCTCTAATCACAGCGATGGACGAAGACACCCCAACCCTGAAGCCCAGACGGATCCAAAATCAAAACGTGGTTTATCGTCTTGAGAGGCGCAGGATCTGTTCGGGCCGACCCGGAGCTCACTGGTACAGAGTGCGCTGCTTCCACCAGAACCTTTTCCCCAACTTCACTGTGGTCAACGTGGAGAAGCCCCCCTGCTTCCTCAGGAAGTTCTCGCCAGACGGACGCTGTTTCATCGCCTTCTCTTCTGATCAGACGTCTCTGGAGGTAAGATCCGTTCATTTAGAGGCACTTTTCCCTCTAAATGTCGGCGTTAGACTCCTTTTGATACCACATATTGTGTGATTATTATTTTGAATCTTCCAACTGTCAAAAGCAACTTGCCCCGACTGGAACAGACCTGGTCCATCAAACTATCAAATATACCCGAGACAAGCATAAACTCCAATCCCAATGTTCCTCCTACAGATATATGAATATCAAGGCTGCCAAGCGGCTCAGGACCTGCTGAGAGGCCAAGAGGGAGAGACTCTTCTAACGGCCAATGACCAGCGTTCCCTCAACATCCGAGGCCGGCTGTTTGAGCGCTTCTTCTCCTTGCTCCACGTCACCAACGTGGCCTCGAACGGAGAACACCTCAACCGGGAGTGCAGCCTCTTCACAGACGACTGCCGCTATGTCATAGTTGGGTCGGCTGTGTACGTCCCAGAAGAGCCGCCGCCTTACTTCTTTGAGGTAACGACACCGCCATACCAACTGTAAAAGTATAGGGAAATTTAAAAAAATGATTAAAACTACAAATTCAATTCCAGAGTTTGGCTCAGACTGCCCCTTTCATCCACACTTCATCCCCTACCAGGTGTATCGCAACAACGAATCTGTGACTCCCAACCCTCGGTCTCCTTTAGAAGACTACTCCCTCCACATTATCGACCTCCACACTGGCAAGCTGTGTGATACCAGGTCCTTCAAGTGTGACAAGATCATCCTGTCGCACAACCAGGGCCTCTACCTCTACAGGAACATCCTGGCTGTACTGTCGGTCCAGCAGCAGACCATACACGTGTTTCAGGTGAGCCCATGTACCGTTTCGAATGTAAATCTTTGAAGCACGTTGCACTTCTGGTGACATGCCAGTGAGTGATGTTGAAGGAGGTGTTGTGACAAAAGGCAGAACACTTTCTGTTTTTAATTCATAATTTGGTTGTGGACAGCCATTTAGACTACATACTTAAAGCTAGGGATGTCCCGATCAAGTCTTGTTTTGCTCCTGTTTCGAGTCCTCTGCCGGTACTGGAATGTTCCGACATAATACAGCTGCACAGTGCAAAATTCAAGTACGTTTAAGTTACTAAACTCAATCATATGTATCAGTTTGCCAATTTAATAGCTCTGTATTGCATAAAGACAAAAAAAATGCCCTCATCCAATTTGTTCCTTATGGTTTTTTGATTCAAATTTTTACAAAATGGCAAAGTATATAATAACAAACCCTCTCTGTTACTGTCTCGAGGGAATGTCTCTCTCACTTTAAAACTGTGAAGGAAAGATAAATTCGTTAAATAACATAAATAATGAATCTGACACTGCGTCTTGCTGTGGGCGGGGCTCAGCCCTCGCTCACTCGCATGGAGCTCAGTGAAGTGAAGGACATATGTGTGACAGCTGACGTAAAACGAAGGATCAGAGCGTGCTCCATAGCTTAATGCAGTCGATACTGATCAGTTATCGGTTTGACTTTGACATATGTACTAAACAGTTTTCTAACAATAACTAATTTTTTTGTTTAGTTCTGTCTATTTTGGGGTCCGACTGCTGCTTAAAGACCTCTCCAAGTATCACATTTGTTGTTTTTTTTCATCCCCCCCAGGTCACTCCAGAGGGAACATTTCTAGATGTGAGGACGATTGGGCGGTTCTGTTATGAGGACGACCTCCTGACTCTTTCTGCAGTTTACACAGAGGCTCAGGCGGAGAGTCAGTCGGGCTTCCCCCGCCTTTACACTGACAAAACCATCAACTCCCTCAAGCACAGGCTGTTGGTGTACCTCTGGAGGAGGGCTGAGCAGGACGGTAGCGCCACCGCTAAGAGGAGGTACAAAACGCTCTGTGGATATTTAAAAAAAAAAAAAAAAAAAAGGTCATTTCATTTAATCCATGTATTATTTGACCCGATTTGACCAAAAGGAAATAACTAGAAGAACTAAAAGTCCTTGTTGCACATTCCTGTTTGTGTTTCCGTCGTATCTCAAGAACCGTGACGATTATTTTAGTCATTTTAGTCCAGTCATGGATTAAAATTTAATTGAAAACGCAATTTTCACACACAAGGAAACAACAACGCAGTCATTGGGTTGTTGTTTGTCTTTGCTGTTGCGTGACTGATGTTTGAGTTAGATGAAATGAATGAATCAAAAGGGGATTCACAGAGCTGGAAAACAAGACTGACAGCTCTCCCCAAAATAGACAATCTGCTGGGTGTTTGATGGGTATTTATTACTGCGTTACAACAAAACTACCATGAAATTATAACTGGTTTCTTGAACATGACAATGAGTTCACAGTTAGGTACACCTCGCAAGTACCGGGTTGGACCCCTTTTGCCTTCAGAACTGCCTTAGTTCTTCGTAGAATAGATTCAACGAGGTGTTGGAAACATTCCTCACAGATTTTGGTCCATATTGACATGATACCATCACGCAGTTTCTGCAGATTTGTCGGCTGCACATCCATGATGCCAATCTCCCGTTCCACCACATCCCAAAGGTGTTCTATTGGATTGAGATGTGGTGACTGTGGAGGCCATTGGAGTACAGTGAACTCACCATTACACCAACACCAGCAGCAGCCTGAACCGGTGATACAAGGCAGGATGGATCCATGCTTTCATGTTGTTTACACCAAATTCTGAACCTGCCATCTCAATGTCGCAGCTGAAATCGAGACTCATCAGACCAGGCAATGTTTTTCCAATCTTCTATTGTCCAAGTTTGGTGAGCCTGTGTGAATTGTAGCCTCAGTTTCCTGTTCTTAGCTGACAGGAGTGGCACCCGGTGTGGTCTTCTGCTGCTGTAGCCCTTCTGCGTCAAGGTTCCACGTGTTGTGCGTTCAGAGATGGTGTTCTGCATACCTTGGTTGTA